ACACTCTATTATTGTCAATTAAAATTGAGTCCGTATGTAATCAATTAGAAAGGGCTGATTAGTAACTCTACAATTCATCACCATGTACTACGTATATTACTTTATATATTTAGCACGTTCCTGTCATTACACAACCACAACTTTAAAATCCATTAATGTTGATGTTATTTTTATATGGCATGTCCCCACCATTAATAAACATATAATATTGATTATTCACTTTTGTTTCAATTTTTATTAATACAAAGTATAAGTGCATCGTTTTTATATAAAATGCAATATACTCACATTGAGACTTGAGAGTGCAATAAATAAACCAATTTTTTTTATTATGTTAGTTCAATTAGAATTTCAAATTTAAAATGCATTTATAGTTACCGATTTAACATGAATACATGATGCTCTTCTAAATGATTATGATGCAACTGATGATCGTTATGTATTTTATGTGTTTCATGTAATAAATGTGACATTTGGTGCATGCAATTTTTAATTTGGAGAAGTGCACTTTTTAAGCAAAATAGAATAATAGAACAATGAAAAAATAAAGGTATAAACTTCATAAGTACATTTTGCATCATGCAATCGTGAAATTATATATCAAAACTGCACAATTAGAATAATGCAATATTAAGTGCATAATAAAGTTACGGATATGATAAAATAGTAGCAGCCTTGAAAGAAATTGAGTTCATCAAACCATACAATACGAAGAAGTATTAAATTAATTGCTTCAAATTAAACATATAAAACACAGTTATGTTTCAAAAAATTATTTGACTGCCTTCCCGATCGAATTTTTAGCTGAAATTTTTTGTGGATAAACTAGACTTGATGAGGAACATTCCATAAAAATTTCATCAAAAAACTCCACCGGGAACCGCCCTAAACGGCGGCGGCCGGACGGAGGATCCTGTCCCTCCGGCTGGACAGGATCTTTTCCGTGTATATATATATATATATATATATATATATATATATATATATATATATATATATATATATATATATATATATATATATATATATATATATATCGGGGTGACTCATGGAAGTTTTGATTGTAGTGTTGACCTTTGGTGTTGGAGTTTTGAAGCTTGAAGTTTGAAGTGGCTCAAAACTAGCTCTTGAAAAAGATAGATGGAAAGGTGTACACTTTCAAGCAAATGTGGAAAGTGGGTTTCTTTAACTTTCCCACACCTAAACTCCTTGGGAAGTTTGAAGCCTATAAATATGAACCACTCATCACTTAATATTAAAAGGTGAAGGAGAATAGGGGAGCTCTCGCGCACACAAGAATTCCGGCTTCTAGTTCAGAACCGAAAATTCGCACCCCCCCCCTGCGCGGGCGACCTGCGGACACGATAGTCGTAAAATTCAGAGGGTCTCAAAAGACAATTTTGCCCCTCTTTTCTTTCCTTTTTTTTTTAAAAACTTTCTTTCTCGATACTGGACTGGTGGGTTCTCGAGGTTAGCTTAACCATTTTTTTTTTAATTTATGGGTAAGTCGCCAAACGGTTGGGCGACTTTCCAAATGTAGTTTTTAATGTAATTCCATTAATAAATTTGTACATACAATAATAAATTTAATTCTACATCTAACGTTGCGTGCTCGGCCCTGACATGTCCTCGCCATGTCGGGGTGTAGCCTGTCGCCGGCACAACGTGAGAAGGGTTCCCGACACATGACATCCTTTGTTTTTCGCAGTACAGCGTTGATGGATAGTCTACCCGGGGGGTATCTTATCCGAGGGGTTATTGCGGGAATAACTAGAGGGAAGTCAGAGCAAAATAGGAGGAGAGAGAGTCGATTTATTCAATGAACTCAGCGTGTGGAGTTGAGATGTAGATCGTGTTCATTACAAGGAGAAATGGGCTGCTATTTATAGCAGCAATAAATGCGATGAGAGGACACGTGTCAGTAATCCAACGGGCGAAGGGTCACATCAGCCTGGTGGCACCGGCAGTGGTACGTCAACCGCATTGAATGCGGTTGGCGGATGTGACGTGGCATTAAATGCGGTGGTTGGCTGTCTCTAAAAGGAATCTTCGATGATTGAGCTTGTTCAGCCGAAGGCTCTTCGTGTGGTCGAGGGCTCCCCATGTAACCGAGGGCTCATTGTGTAGCCGAGGGCTTCTTGTGTGGCCGAAGGCTTGGTTCAGCCGAAGGCTTACCCCTGGTTTATGTCGAAGGCCGTTTTTCTCCCAGCAGCTTCTTATGCCAGAGAAGGCTATCCTGTGAGTTTTGAAGCCTTCGGCCAAGGAGGCCGAAGGCACCCCAGTGTGTATCCTGGGCCACTTTGAGGCTTGGGCCGTTGTTTTTGGGCCTGAGTTGTTTCCTGAGCTCAATGGACTAGTGTAGGAGAAATAGGAGTCTATGGGCCGGGGGTTCCTGGGCCATATACTCCATCAGGAGTCCCTCACTGCTTTTGCCGAAAGGTACTTGAGGGAAAAGGAGTAGATGCGTTGATTCTTCTGGGGGCCTCATCATTTCGCTGGGTGCCTTTGCTGAAGAACTTTGTCTACTGCTGATTGCCGAAGGCTTCCCTCAGTCCCTCACATGTCGAGGGTTTTCTGAGGGAAGTATAACACCTGTATGATCGTAGGAGGCTTTCCTCAGTCCCTCACATGTCGAGGGTTTTCTGGGGAAAGTATAACACCTGTATGACTGCAGAAGGCTTTCCTCAGTCCCTCACATGTCGAGGGTTTTCTGGGGAAAGCATAGGTGTATTGCCTGCGTGTGTTGTGGTGAGGGCTGCTTTATTTCCGCAAGTGACTTGTAGAAAACTTGTGATATCCTGCCTCTGCTGAAGGGGTTTTACTTTGATGTTTGTCCGGAGGCTGCATGCGTCAATTGTAAATTGTTTGTTTCCGTGAAATTTTTGTTGTGTATGATCCCCGAGGGGTGTATGCTAGTCCCCCACTCCTTTAGGCCGAAGGGGAGTTCGGGCTGAAGGAGTCATGATGAGTTGATGATCCCCCGAGGGGTGTGGCGGGTGATAGCCGGAGGCTATCATCCGAAGGCACCCGAGTGTTGCCGAAATATAGTCGTTGCAATATAGCCGTTGGAGGAGGAGTTGACGTGGCACGCTTCCGTTGGTCGGTGGGGGCGGGGGCCATCCATTGGTTGAACCGGCGGCCCGTAATGATGGGCTTTCGAACCGAGGCCCATTTTTCGAGGCCCGGTTGCCTATATATACCCCAAGTCTGAGCTCATTTCCGTTGCGCGTTTTAGAATTGAAGCGAAGCTCTGCTGAAATTTCTAGAGAGAGAAAGTTTCACCCTCGATCAACCCAAGCTTTCTGAGGTCAGTTCCTCCTCTGCTCCCTTCTTTCCTAGTTTTAGTGTTAGTATTCTAGGGAGCCCTCGGTTTCTTTCATTTCTCCTGCTCCTATCTTCTGAACGCCTAAGGATGTCGTCGGCGAGTGACTCCCAAGACATTTCCGTGGAGGCCCCGGTTCAGTCGGAGAGCTACTCCGAGGTGGAGTCTTCAAGCGAGCAGCCCTCCGTTGGGGATGATGCCGCCGTAGCTGAGGAAATCCAATCCACTCTCCGGACGGAGCTAGAGGCCGAAGAGTTCGAGCAGGTGGTGGCAGATGAGGAGATGGCCCTTGCTCTGCAAATCGCTGAAGAGGAGGATGAAAAGGAGCGCCGCCAGGTGACAATTGCAGTCATGCCCTCTCGGGGTGCTGGTGAAGCGAGCACCTCCCGGCCGTTGGACGTGCAACCTCTTCGGGTAGCCGAGGGAAAGAAGAAGAAGAATTCGAGGGCTGCACCCAAGAAGAAACAAGCAGCCGTTGACGCGGGGCAACCGGTTGGGATCCCCGAGGGTCACTCCTATTTGGACACCACCGCCCTCGAGGTGAAGACTACGGCATCGGGTACTGAGTGTCAGGCACTACAGATATTCGTCGGGCCTTCGGCGCAGGTCGTGGAACCGGGTCCCGAAGATCTGCTCTCTAATCCTCCCAAGGGGTGCTTCGCGGTGCACATGCTGTCGGTAGAGCTAGGGCTCAGATTCCCCCTGCACCCCTTCGTCATAGAGTATCTGAAGTTTGTTAAGTTAGCCCCCTGCCAGCTCACGCCCAACAGTCATTATTATCTGGCGGGGTTCCTAGCTCTCTGTCGAAGCCGAGGGGTGGTCGCCACATTGGACCAATTCTTCCTCTCATTCAACCTCTGCCGGGGAGGTCATACCCATGCCGGGGGGTACGCTAATTTGCAGCAGGTTCCGGCCTGGAAGCTGTTCTCGGAGACCCCCTCCTCCCACAAAGATTGGAAGGAGAAATTCTGCTACATCCGGATGACCGAAAATCCGTTCCCGGGGGCTCTGAAAAATCATTTCAAAAGGCACCCGAAGGTAGGCAGTGCGGCCCTCGACAAGGCGGGAAGGAAACTGATCCAGAAGCCCGCGGGTTCTGAGAAAGTGATCGCCATTAAGGAAGCGACGCTACCCGAGGAGCTCTATCTGTTGGGCTTCCGAAGATATCGTCTTCCGGGGGAAAAGGACGAGAAATACCCTGAAATCGATCGAGGGTATCAGAATGCCAGAGGTTGTCCACCGAGGGCTTTTGTTGTGTTACTTAGAAAAATTATCCTTGTCTTTGTTTGATCCTAATCCTTCCTTCGTTTTCGCAGGTGACATAATGGACGTTCAAGCCTTCGCCCGATTATCCAAGAAGCTGGCCCAGGTGCCGAAGAAGAAGAAGGACGAGGGGTCCTCGAACCAGCCCCTCGTCGATGAGGTGTTGAAGAAAGCAGGGGCTCCTAAAGTCCCGGAGGGTGGGGACCCCTCCAAGAAAATTGCTGCTGATTCCGGTACTAGTGCCGGAGGCTCCCAAGCCGGGGAGCTTAAGAGAAAAAACACCGGGAAGGGCTCCAAGCCTCCGGTGACTAAGAAGCAGAAGGGGGCCGATGAAGGTAAGGGTGCCCCCCTTGTGATCCTTGAAGAGCCTTCCTCCTCGCACCTGGTGGATCTTGACGAGGGGGCCTGGCCGCAAGAGACGGTGCGGTTCTCCTTTAAGAGGGGGACTGCCATCGTGCACGGCACCCTCGATCCGAGGGAATATCTGAAGGGTGCCACTCCCCCTTTGGATTGCTCGACCCTCGGTAAGTTCGAGGACGAAGCCCTCGAGCGAAGAGCACTCGAGGCCTCGGTCACTGTAAGTCCCTTCCCCTCGCTAAGCTTATGTTTTGTTTTCTCATATTTTCTGCTTGCAGGTTCTGACTTCTAGTGTCCCTCCTCTGCTTGCAGGCTAGCCTGGCCTTCGGTGAATATGTCCGGAGAATGGAGCAGCTTCGCCTCCGGAAGGCGGAAGACGACGAGGCCCTCAAGAGGCTTGTCGTCAAGAACACCGAGGCCATCAGGAAGATGGCTGAGCTGGAGGAGGCCCTGAGGCAGGCGGGCGACAAGCTGGAGGCCGTGAGGGTGGAGGCTCGCGCCGAGGGGAAGGCTGAAGCGGAGAAAGCCGCTGCCGATGCCGCCAGGGAAGCAGCCGAGGAAGCTGAGAGAGCAAAAACTGAGGCCGCGGCCAAAGCTAGAGAAGATGCCGTCGCTGCATTTGTATCCGAGGGTTGGAAGGCCGAGGACCGCAAGGAGTGGGTGGCCTCGGTTATAGAGCAAGGTGTCGATGCCTGGGTGAAAGGCCCCGGATCCGAGTGGATGGCCTTAAAGGGCAAAGACTACTTTGACGGGGGCGAGTTTTTCACCCAGCGCCTCATCTACCGGAAGCTGGCGGAGCACTTCAAAATCCCCAAGGACAAGTTCGACCCTTCGGCGTATGGCCTCCCCCCTCAGCAGCCTGATGTTAGGGTCCCCCTCCCAGAAGGCGAGGAAAGGGTTCAGCTTGCGGACTCCGAATTAATGAGGGAGTATGGCCTTCATGATGAAGAGGGTGCAGAAGATGATGCGTCCTCCAAGCCGAGGGATGACGTGGTCGAGGATGCCCAACCTTAAGAATTTCTTTTAATTGCAAGCTCTGTAATAGTAGTAGGCCCCGGCTCCGGCCATGCTTTTGTAATGAAACACATTTTTGTACCCCAATTACTTTTCTTGTTGAATGAATCATTGCCTCCGGGTTTTCCGTATGAACGAATGCCTTCCTTCATTCTGAACTTCAATGTATGCCTTTGTTTCTTTTTGTGTTTGTGTATGAATGTATGTTTCTTCCCTCCTTCCATATGAAAGTCTGCTTTCCCGGAGGCCCCTAGTTTGTGGACTTAGAAAATTTTTCTAAGTGCCACTCATTGCTAGCCCCTGGTTGTAGCGTAGTATTGCCGAGGGGTTGCCGCTGTGGACTTTAGAAAAAAAATTCTGAAGTGCAAATCCAATCATGAGCCCCCCGATCGTATTTGCCGGGGGCTTGTCGTTGTGGACTTAGAAACTTTTCCAAGTAAGTTTTTGTCAGAACCCTCCGGATGTAAAGCAGAACCTCAGAAAATAATCTAAGTAAAACTTCATTGGAAATCTTCGGTAAAGAATCCCTGTAATGCCTCCGGGGGTGAAGTGATAGGGCCGAGGGCTAAGATGTTTTAGGCTTAAGAAATTTTCACGAAGTCTCCATAGATGCTGTAGTGAACCTTCGGGTGTGAGAACTGCTCTCAGCCCCCGGTGCATATGGCTGCCGAGGGGTTCGAGATTATGGATTTAGTGAAATTCTGAGATGTGTTTCCCACAGATCTCGCGCGTAGCCCTCGGTTGATGGCTTTTAGCAAAGTTGCCATAGGTGTCATTGACCCCTCGGTTGATGGGGCCTCCGCCGTTGTGGAGTTAGAAATTGGCAATTTCACCAGGCGAAATTGCATCTTGGGCCCCCGGAAATGCTGAGCCTTTGATCGTTAGTGTATCAGCGAAGTCCATGTTGCCCACCGAGGGCTTCTCGTTTGAGTGAGTGTGGTAGCTTTCTGCCCTCGGCTTTAGGCCTCCGGTGGAAATCTTGTAGTCCAAGGTTTCATGCAATGAAGCCTTCGGCTATGTAGCCAGATGTTCTGTTGTTGGGAAATTTTCTGTCGCCTTTGGAGCCTTCGGGAATGTATGTCCGAAGTGTTGAGCCTCCGGGGAGAATAGTATCCGAGGAGTTCCTTCCCCCCTACACATCATTTTTTTTTTTTTTTTTTTTTTTTTTTTTTTATTTAGATGGTGTAGGAGAGGCATCTAGAAACTTGGTTTCTAGGAAAGGCTTGGCCTATATGGGAGGCAACGGAACAAACCGCTGGCTCCCCCTTCGGGAATGACCTTCCGATATCCCGAAGGGTTTGAGGGTCGTTTCCTCGGCCCGAGACATCGTCTGTTGCCTGCTTCCCCTTGGGAGATAGCACGGAAAGCGCCTCGGTTTTGAAAGTCGTCCCCTCAGCCCGAGACATGGTCTGTTGCCTGCTTCCCCTTGGGGGATAGCGCGGGGAGCGTTTCGTTCGTGGAAGTCGAATCCTGGGCCCGGGACATGGTCCGTTGCCTGCCTCCCCTTGGGGGATGGCGCGGAAAGCGTTCCTGGGAAGGGTTTTATTTGTGTGTAGAACACAAATGGCCGGGGGCACTTGGTACCAGCCGGAGCCGAGGGGTGTTGCACCCCCCGTTTTTTTTTTTTTTTTTTTTTTTTTTTTTTTTTTTTTTGTAGGAATATGTAAAAGTTTTTGAAAACACTTGGTGTTTTCAAAGAGTGATGGGGGTGACCCATACACTTGGTACTTGGTACCTAAATTGTTGTTCCTCCTCATAAGAGGGAGTGGCCTTGGGCCTTTTATGGTGAAGAGATGAGGGCTTGGCCGCTCGTGTGTAGGAGAGAAGGGGGCCTTGGACCGCTTGTATGATATGTAGGTGATGAAGGCTTGGCCTTTTGATTATTCTTCAAAAACAGAAGGGGCCTTGGGCCATTAATATTTACACTTGCTGAGGATGAGGGCTTGGCCGCTCATGCCTTATTGATAGAATTTGACAAGGTGGCGCACATTCCAATGTCTAGGGACCTCCGTCCCATTGGGGCGTTTAAGCTTGTATGTCCCTGGTTTGATGATGGCTGAGATGATGTAGGGGCCCTCAAACTTGGGAGCCATTTTTCCTCCTTCGGTGGGTAGGCTGGCTTCCCTTCGTCGGAGGACGTAGTCACCCACCTGAAATTCTCGGGAGCGGACCTTGGCGTCGATGTAGCCTTTGACTTGTCTCCTATAGTTTTCGGCCCTGAGGAAGGCTTGCTCTCGGCGTTCCGAGATGAGATGAAGGTCGAGGGCCATGTTGGCGTCGTTGACCTCGGGCTCATATTGTTCCACCCTTCGGGTCGGAAGGGTCACCTCTGTTGGAGCCTTAGCCTCAAAGCCATAGCATAGGGAGAAGGGTGTCTCGCCTGTTGCGCGCCGAGGGGTCGTGCGATAGGCCCATAAGATGTTGTGAAGTTCTTCTACCCAGCCTCCCCCTTCGGCTTCCAGCTTCTTCTTCAGCCCTTCAAGTAGGGTTCGGTTGGCGTTCTCTACTTGCCCGTTGCCCTGAGGATAGGCAACGGAAGAGAATGTGTGCTTGATACCCCAAGCTTCAAGAAGGGCACAGAACGGGGCTGCCTCGAACTGAGTCCCGTTGTCGGAGATAATTTGTTGGGGGACGCCAAACCTTGTGAGAATATTTTTGAGGACGAAGTGACGGCACCGGGCCTCCGTGATGCTGGCGAGGGGCTCCGCCTCCACCCATTTGGTGAAGTAGTCAATGGCCACAATAATGTACCTGTTGTTGGAGGTACCCCTCGGCAGAGGGCCTACTAAGTCAATCCCCCATCTGGAGAAGGGTATAGCGGTGCTGATGGGGGCATAGTTAACCGCTGGTCTGCCGGGGGCTTTCTGAAAGTGTTGGCAAGCGGTGCACCTCCGGGCTAGATCAGCACAATCTCTAGCCATCGTGGGCCAGAAGTAGCCTTGAACTATGAGCCTTCGGGACATGGAGAAAGGTCCCTGGTGAGCTGAGCAAGTGCCACTGTGCACTTCCTCCATGGCGATTTCGGCCTCATCTTGATGAAGGCACCGAAGGAGGGTGCCGTTGTAAGATCTCTTGTAAAGCCTCCCGTTTTCGATGGTGTAGCTGGGAGCCCTCAGCTTTGCTAACTTGGCGCGGGCTTCGTCCTGGGGCAGTTGCCCTGTGGTGATGAAGGCGATGATGTCAGAGATCCAGTCCTCCGGCCTTAGGTGGATGTCCATGACGGGGCTCGCGTGGATGCTTGAGAGGCTGAGTTCCTCAATTCTCGCAATTTTGGAAAGGTGCTCGGGGGATTCATCCGAGAGCTTGGATAGAATGTCGGCCTCAGAGTTTTGAGCCCTCGGTATCTGGGTGAGGGAATGTGCCTCAAATACCTTAAACAATTCTTTGGCTGCTTCCTTGTATTGCTTCATCCTTCCTTCCTTGGCCTCGTATTCGCCGGAGAGTTGGCCTACGACTAGCTTGGAGTCGCACTTGACGTGGATTTGTTTGGCCTTCAGATTTGCGGCCAGCCGAAGGCCACAGAGCAGGGCCTCATATTCGGCTTCGTTGTTGGAGACTTTGAAGGAGAATCGGATGGCGTAATAGGCGCGGAAGCCCTCGGGTGTGATGAGAACTACTCCCCCTCCGCATGCTTTGGTAGCCGAGGAGCCATCGGTATAGAGGGTCCACCACTCATCGAGGGGTGCCGAAGGCTCCTCATCCACCGCTGATCTTGCGGTGCATTCCGTTACGAAGTCTGCCAGGGCTTGGCCCTTGATGGCAGGCCTCGGACGGATATCTATGTTGTATTGGCTGAGGAAGATGGCCCATTTCACCATCCGAGAGGAGCTAGTGGGACTCCTCATGAGGGCGCCGAGGGGTTGATGAGTGAGCACTTGGACCGGATGAGCTTGAAAGTAGTGGCCAAGCTTCTTGACGGTCCAAACGATGGCTAGCACCGTCTTCTCGACGGGAGAATACCTGAGTTCGGCCTCCCGGAGGGTTTTGCTGACGTAGAAGATGGCGTGTTGGACGCCATCTTCCTCTCGGATTAGTACTGAGCTGATTGCCGCAGGGCTAACACCGAGATACAAGTATAAGGTCTCCCCCACCTTCGGTTTGGAGAGCACCGGGGGAGAAGAGAGGTACTTCTTAAGTTCGTCGAAGGCCTCTTGACACTCAGATGTCCATTGGAAGCCAGCTGTCTTCCTCATGATTTGGAAGAATGGGAGGGCCCTCTCGGCTGACTTAGAGAGGAATCGGTTGAGGGCCGCCAGGCGACCCGTCAACCGTTGAACTTCTTTGACGTTGCGCGGAGGCTCCATATTGATGATGGCCTGAATTTTCTCGGGGTTGGCCTCGATACCCCTTCGGCTTACCATATAGCCCAAGAATTTTCCACCTTGTACGCCGAAGGTGCATTTCTTTGGATTCAATCGGAGGTTGAATTTTTGCATGATGGCGAAGATTTCCTGGAGGTCCTCGGCGTGAGTGCCGGCCCTCTTGCTCTTGACAATCATATCGTCAACATAGGCCTCCATAGTGCGCCCCAAGACAGCTTGAAAGACCCTGGCCACCATTCGGGTGTAGGTGGCGCCTGAATTCT